CGGCTCAGACGATTTCAATTGTCTTTCCAGCGCGAGCTGAAACCCAGGCGACCGCCCCCGATTAACCTCACCCTCCACATAACAAAGAGCAGGCCCACCAGTCATACTTCACGCGATGAAAACGTTTCGGGAATGTCCTGGAGCGGCCCAAAACGATGATCGAGCAACCAGGCAGCCATCATAGGCCTGCGATCATGGAAATAATCTTCGGGGCCCTTTTCCTCGCGCCCAGCCTGGGGCGGCATCCGCAAATCCCCGCGCAAACATATCTTGGGCTCGGGAATTGCACCATCCAGCAGGTTCGAAGTCCTCGGGCCCCGAGCTCTTCAAATCCTTGCTGGACCTGAGAAGCGACGGCGTCGCGCAGGGGGCCGGCCAGGTCCAAAATGCGCTTAATTCCTTCGCTCGCGGCGGCCACCGGCCAGACCCGCGGCCACCTCGCAGGCGACGCGTTCACCGCCGCCAGCATTCTAACAGGCGCGCCACCCACAAGTTCTAGGCAGCAGCCTTGGCCCACCATCAAGCGGGCCTAAGCTAGCGCAGTCCAGAGGACAGACAGGAGGAGCCAGAGGAATGCATCGGCAGCTCTCAGGCGGCCGAGGAGTCAGATCATCAACATCAGGGGGCGGAGACGCCAGGAGCACCTGGAGGAGCCGCGGCAGTCCCAGCTCGGCCCTGCCTCGCCGCTGGCAGGAATGGAGCTGGTAGCTGAGTTATCCGCTCTTCCTGCCACCGCCCGCGCGCGCGCTGGCAGTTATGGCCGGCGCAGCTCGAGGGGTGCGGGGGGGGTGGGTGGGCAAACTTCGCCTTGGGTCGCGCTTTCTCGGACCTGGACTCGCGCGCTGGAAGCTCGAGAAATGGCAACCTCTCGAGACACATTTCCAGATGAGAAATGAAGGGGGGCCGCGGGTCAACGAGGCTATGACCACAGGAGTTGGGGCGGCGCGCCGCCGGGGCAATCGCCCCGCGCCTCGGCAGCCGCCCCGCGCATGGAAGCACGCCAATTTCAGATGGTTCGGGCAGACCATTTCGACTTTCAGAAGCAGGGCAGCAACGCGACTCGAACCTGCGGCAGGCAGCACCACGGGAGACCGATGCTCAGCTTGCGGGAGAGGAGGGGGTCTAGATAGCATTATTCGGCATCCGTTGCGAGGGCCAAGTAGACGCATCAGCGCCAGCGCCGCTACGACTCGGGGCGGGCCCCACCCACGCCACGTCAGCCTCCAGGAAGATCCTGCGCATGAACTCGCACGCAGGCTCATTGACAGAATAAGGGGTGCTCCCTAGCCACTATCACGATCTCCATCGAGAAACACAATGCCGGCCCCACCCCAGGCCCGAGCTATCGGGGCACATGCACGACGCCTGGCCTTTGGAAACGCTGGGGCGAACACCGACATGCTAAGTTGATGATTTGGGAACGCGCGCATACTCGGGATTACCTGGCACGCCAGTCTGGATGGGACACTTTGAGGTCGTCTTAGAATGGGCCACGGAATCCGAGGGTTACTCCCTGAGCTCCAAGAAAGCGCTTTATGGGGCAACATTGCGGGATCCCTCTCATTACTACGCGAGCATCGATAGGGACAGATGGAGACAGAGAGCGCAGGACACCAGTTCCCCGACTCTCTCACAGTTAGCATTTGCAGGCAGTACCAAGCGCCCTGCGTTGTAGCCTCCAGGACATCTGCTCTCTCAGATGGACGCCCCTCGCGCGGCATGGGCCCAGAGCGCCGGGTGGCAACGCGCGTCGTTCAACGACATTGCTTTGCCGCCGATAGAGTCGCGAGTCAAGAATCACCGGACTGTGCAGCCTGCGAATTTCATGGGCGATTTCCCGTTGGCCAGCCACAACAGCACGCATGTTCGAACGATGCGATCTTGCCATGGCCTCAGCGAGCACGGACCAAACCGATCGTGAGGGATCTGCGGCGTGACGTCGCTTAGCATAAGTCTGCCGCGGTGGCACTTACGCCAGCGATCCAAGCTGATCTGGCCGCCCAGCGAGGCCAGCGCGCTGAGCCCGACGCGGATGGGCAGGCCCCATCGACTGCTAAATTGAGCGTGGACTTCGCTGCTGGAGCCAGGGCACAAAAGCTGGAGATTCTCGATGGCGCGAACCACCAAGTCAGAAGGTTGACTCCGGCGGGGCAGAGGTCTTGGGGCTCACCGAACAAGAGCTGCTGGAAGCCAGGAACCTGTTCCTGAGGGTTGCTGGGCCCCGCTGCGCCACCAGACCTCGGGCCCCCCCACTGGCGCCACGCGAGGACCCCGCTTGAAGACCCGGCTCCGGCCGCGCTTGCGCTGGAGCCCGGCTGTCTGGAGAGCACGTCAGACACCCGCCAAATCTAGGTTCGAGCACACGGAGCTTAGACAGCCTGCGGACAATATCATTTTCAGACAACCGCCTGGATTGGCAAACATCAGGGGGGGCCTGGAACCTGGAACTGCGAGGTTGCGCCTCAACCGAATAGGCCGGTCGCGGAGTGCGCTTTCTGAGTTTGCCAGCAACAAACGGGAACGTTCCGCCTTGACCACCGCGTCGCCAGAACTCGCGAGGAGTGCCCCGGCAAGCTCTCGGCAGAAGAATATGACCAGGCATGCTGCTGGCAAGATCGGCATGGACGAGATAGTCATCTGCAACACGAAGAAGGCCCTCTCGCGTCCAGATGCGCATAAGCAGGGCGCAGCATCCCCCCCGCCGCCTCGGCGAAATCCACGTGGACCAAGGTGCGGTTTCAGCAGGCCGGCTGCGAAACGAGCATTATTGAGACGCGTGGAATCTTTTCGGCCGACACCAAGCAAAGGCTGATACACTGCAGCCGCGCAGCGCGCTTCAGAACGGAGCATCTCGAGCAAGAGGATCTCGACGTTCTGAGTCGCCAAGAAGTTGATGCTCATTTCGCTGGTTTTCTGGAACATCCCCCTTCAAGGTCCAGAGGCCCCCTGATGTAGGGCACGATAGTTGAATGTAGGTCACTGGAGGGCCCCATCCCCTATCAAGCTTTCGCAGAGGAGGTTTACATCGATGGGGGCGCGGCCGAGGACGGCCACCCCTGCTGCAATGCCCCAGGATGGTACCCTGTCAAGTTGGGGCAAGTTGGCTCCATAACTGCGTGCCTTTGCGGCCTCTAGGGAGCGGTCTGCCATCCACTTCGCCTGCAGCAGATTCCCTAGCTTATCTCGCATCAAGCCAGCGTCCAGGCCTCAGTCGCAGCCATTCGGATTTCAAGGCAGCCATTCGGCTACATGCCTCCGATGAGCCGCCCAAACGCTTAAATTTCTTCTGCGGGATTGGAGCGACGGCCAAGCGGGGCGAAGCTCCCAGAGGTGGACGTTCTGGCGCTGCAGAGGTCAAGGCCCAGTACGCAATCTCTGAGTCGAAACCATTCAGTTAGGACTGGCGGCATGCCACTGGCAACGACGCAGCTGACCGCGTGGCCAAGGTGGTCGCTGTCAAGTCCCCCCTGCCCCCTGAAGCCGAGCGAGACGACCAAGCTGAGCTGAGCAAGCGCATGGAGCGTTTTCCTTGCGCATGCGCCTCGTGCCCTGCCGTCGCGGCCCACTGCTGCTCAAGGGGCCGGCGGCGAAGGCGCGGAAGCACAGACGAAGAGCTTGAACCCAGCAGCTGTTGCAGCTTCTATTTCGGAATCGCGGCAGGCAGGTGGCGACTTTGGAGGGCGGGCCCTCGGGTTCGGGGGTGGCGGCGGCCACCCCCCCCCCTCCCATTCAGGGCGGCCTTCGGACACAGGCGGGCCCACGGCAGGGGGAAACAATTCATGGGCACCCCCCCGCCCCCCCAAACTCAGAGTTGGCGCGCGCGGGGGAGGCTGCGTCGAAGTGCAACTCATCGGACCCACCGCCACTTTTGAACATTGTGGGGAGGGGGGAGGCGTTGACCGATGAATGCGGCATGCGCGCTTGCTATTTTTGCCGAGGCCGCGCCACGGAACGGCGCCCGGGCCACGTTGCCGCCTTAGCCAAGTGACCGACCCAGCCCATTTGTAACGTCCTGCATGTGCTTGACAGGGCTGACTATGAATCGTTCGTCCGAGCCTACAGTTTGCGCGATGGGCACGCGGAATGTTCCCTGATGGGAGTGAGCAGGGCCCTGGTGAGTTACATTCGGATGGTGTCGCTGCCCGCGAGCGCGCAGGAGGAGAGGTCGTTTTCCTGGGAGGAGAGGCGGCTCCAGCGACGCGGACGGCCCCGCAGGAGCTGCCATCCCTTGGATCTCCCGGGCTCGAGGCCACGCGGCGGCGGATCGCCGCCCGCGAGCGCGCTGGAGAAGCGAATGTTTTCCAGGGAGGAGAGGCGGCTCCAGCGGCGCGGACGGCCTCGCAGGAGCTGCCCCCCCAAGGATCTCGGAGCCAGGCCCAAGGGGTCCAAGGGGCGCCCCCAGAGCCAGGCCTCAAGGCGGAAGAGGAGGCTGCTGCTTTCCTCCACGGCTGAGTGTGGGGGCTGAGGATTTGAGCCGCTGGCCTCTGAAGCCACCGCTCCTCGACCTTCATGTTCAACACGTTCCTCCTTCACGGGCATTGTAACAACAATCATCATCATCAGCACCATCATCATCCTCATCGTCATCCTCCTCACCATCGTCATCATCATCAGCAGCATCAGCATGATCGTCGTCGTCGCCGTCGCCATCAGAATCCTCATCATCAGCATCGTCATCATCGTCATCGTCATCATTAGCATCGTCATCGCCATCACCACCAGCATCACCATAAGTAACAGCATAATCATCAGCAGCAGCATCATCATTGCAGTTATCCTAACGCGTTTTGCGGAGCATGAGTGGGTCGGGCCGCCCTAACCGTTTGGGCTCAAGGCGGAGCGAGGCAGCGGTCTGCGCGCGGCGCGGCTGTGGCAGTTGGCGCGGGCGGGGCGGGTGACGCGACAGTCGCGCACCTCCTCCAGGGCCGCGCCGCTGCTGCGCGCCCGCGCTGTTCCTCGACCTGTGCAGCTGGCCCTTCGCACACGCGCCTACCGCCGCCATGCGCGAGCTGCTCGGCGTGCCCCGCTCTGGCGTGGCCCACGCTGGCCGGTGCGGCCCAGCGCGCGGCACCGGAGGCCCCCGTCGGGGCAGCGCCCTCTTTCCGCGCCCGCGCTGCTTGCGAGCGGCCGGCGGAGCCGTGCGACGCCTGGGGGGCCTTCGAGCTCGAACGGATGGGCGGCGCGCTCGGGGGCACCGTCGCGGCGCTGCTGCTCGTGAAGCTGGCCTGCCACGGAGCGGGGCTGGCCGAGGTGCGCGGGGACGACCTGGGCACCAAAGGGGGGTTCCAAGGACGTGGCGTTATCGGCTCCTGAATGCGTCGGCACCACGTCGGCCGGCGTCACGCCCATCGAGAAGTACGACGACAGTGACAGCGATGACGTGGGCTGGGTGCGACGCAGTGGCAGGTGGAATGACGTGCCCTACGATGTGGATCCAGCTGGGGTGCATCGGTTGCGGCAAGAACCAACGGCGGCAGAAGAACACGTGCACCTTCGAGATGCAGACCTGCTCGCTGACCATCGCTGCCGCACTGTGGCGGCCAAGCTCGAGACGTCCATGGATCGGGCCGCGGCGGCTGACGCTGGGGCGTTGCCCGCGATGCGCAGCGGAGCTCGCGGCGCGATCACCTGGGCGGCGTCGCCCACTCGTGGGCGCGAGGGCGACTTCGGCAGAGGCTGGCTCATGACAGGGGCTCGCGGAGCGTTCTGGCGCATCGAGGTCATCAACAATGAGGGGATGAAGGTCGATGACCATGACGATCGCTGTCGGGCCGTCGCACAACTGGAGTCGACGCAGCGGGGTGTGCCCGAGCATTTCCAACGCAGGCAGTTCGTACGCCTGGTGCTGCTCTCAGGTCAGTGCGACGATACCAACTTGCAGGCTTGCGAGGCGATAGTCCGCCACAGGCAGATGATTGAGTACTCGTACGCGGAGATGGTGAGAGCGCGAGAGGGGGGGATCAGAGCGGGAAGTTGTCGATCGATGAGCAGACTCACTTTGCAGGCTCGGCTCGGATCTCGCACAGCTCGACGGTGCGCCCTGACCCGCTACAGTTCGCGAAGAAGGAAGTTGAGCACGAAGCTGCCCTGGCAAAGGACATCCGCGAACCTCGCGAAGAGAAGGAGGCTCTCCAGAAGGGCACGAAACATGGACAAGGTTGAGGGGGCATGGAGCGCCCCTTCCGCGGCTCCCACTCGGCGGCCGATCGGGGGGCGCCTCTGCACGGTCAATTCGTACGATCTGCCCTTGGTCACGATGAGCCCTCTCGACGCGTTGCTCGCAATCCCCTACCTCATCCACTTCCGCCGGTCGCTTCCGATCGCGCTGCCAGTGGTGGATTTTTGTCTCGTGGGTGCCGTCAGCGGGTTCAACAGCGTCGTGCTCGTGACCTCGATGATCGGAGGGCTGTCGTGGCCCTAAATTCATTGCATCACTCCCCTGACGTTGCGCCGGGCGAAGGGGGTCAACTCAGTGGTGGGCCTCTGTCGCTGACGCAGCAGCGCATCATGGAGCACGCGCGCGACTCAGTTGGAGCGCTGGGGGGCTCCACCAGCAGGCCTCGTCACCTCGGAAGCTCTGCGGAGGCTTCGAGCGCCCGGCTTCTACGGTTCCGAGGAGGACGCGAAGCTGGGGAACTACAATCCCGTTCTGCTCTCGCTGCTGTCCGCGGGTAGCCATTCGGTTACTCTCGCGGACTTGCGGGGCGCAGGCGGGCGCAGGCGCGTCGCGGAGTTCGTTCGCGATAGTGCGCTACATGCAGGACCGGCGCTGGAGAGGAGGAAGACGCGCGGCGCGAGGGCGCCCTATTCTGACCCAGCTCTTCGGCTACCGCGTGTCTGGAACGATGTTGTCTCTCGGCGTCATCAGGGCGGTCTGCTGGATTTCGCTTATGACCGCGGGCGTGAGTCCGTGGAGTTCTTTTGTGTACCTGAAACGGATCAACGATTGAGACTCGTGTGTGGTTGTCGTCATAGTAATGTTTGGTTCCGTGAGCCCGACAATGTCACGTTGCGCATTGGCGAGACCTTCGGGAATCTCGAGGTCGGGGAGGACGACGCTCTGTATATCTCTGAGGCTGATCTGTACAATGCGTTTTACCATCTCCAGTTGCCTTACGAGTTGCGGGATCTGTTTACCCTCCGCCGCGTTCGTGCTCGGGATATCGGTTTGACTGAAATCAACGGTGAGCCTGTGCGGGAAGGGGCCCTGGTGCACCCTAGACTGCGTGTGTGCCCTATGGGGTCGACATGGGCACTGTGGTGGCGCCAAAGTATTCATGGGAGGTTAGTCGAGCATTGCGGAGGCCACCCCGCCGAGCGGTTGCAAGATCGTCGCGCCATTCCTTCGTTAGCTGGTGCGTGTCATCTCGAGTATGTCGACAACTTCCTCGCTATCTCGACTGTCGCCTCCAAGGTGCATCACCTCGCGTCGGCCGTCGTCGAGGGGTCCAGGGAGGCGGGCCTGGTCGTGACCGCTGACGTCGACACGCCCGATGACGATCTCGCTCGGGATCGCAGCACTGCGTCGGGATGGGACATCAGTTGTCGCGCGGCTGTCTTGAGGCCCACTCGGGCCCGAGTCTGGAGGGCCCGCCTGCGCGCGCGCCGCGCTGCGCCGCGGTCGTGTCTCTGGGAAAGTGCTCGAGAGGCTCGCGGGGCACATGGGGTTCATCAGCCGGGTGCGTAGGGGGAGCGTCTCGGTCTTCGACACGCTGTTCGCGTTCATCTGCCGCTGCTAAAATGATGAGGCCTCGCTGTGGCCCAGCGCGATCGACGAGCTCACCATCTGGGAGCGGCTCTGCTCTCACCGCTGCTGTGGCGCAACCTCAAGTCCTCCTGGGGGCCGACGCTGTACGCCGTGGACGCGTCTCCGACCGGTCTGGGGGTCTGCCCGTCGGCCATCTCCGCCGAGGAAGCTCGAGGCCTGAGGCGCTGCGAGCCCTGGCGTTTCTCTCGGGGCGCCCGTCTCCCTCCGGGTCTGCAGGCTGCCGCCGCTGCCGCCGTATCCGACGACCCCGAGGTGCAGCGGCTGTCCGGGGCGCACGACAATGGGCCCAGAGGTCTCTGGGACATCGACGGGGGCCCGCCTCACGCAGGTAGTACCGCTGACGTTCTGGGCTCTGGACTCGGTGACGCTCGTGAGAATGTTTTTCGCGAAGTACCCCCGAAGCTGTTGAAACGGGACTGGATGATCGCGGGCCGCTACAGGTGGAAGGTTGAGGAGCCGATGCCGATGCTCGAAGGGCGGGCCATCCTGCACGCCCTCCGACATGCCTTGAGGAGTGCTCAGAACTTCGGGCGGCGGATCGCCGTCTTGGGGGACGCCCCTGCGGCCACCTGTGTTGCATCGAAGGGCCGTTCGGATTCCGGGGCGATGCTGAGGGTCACTCAGTCGGTCGCCGCTCTCTGTCTGGCCACTGGGTGCGCGCTGCACTGCCGGTGGCTTCCCTCGGAGTGGAACGTGGCCGATGGCCCCTCGAGGGGGCTTGCCGCTCGGTGCCGCAGCCGCTGTCTCTCTCGAAGCCCCACGACGTGGAGTGGCGTCGTTCGGCTGGGCGGGCCCCATCCGCCCCGCGGCATGGCGCCGCTGCTGGTGGCGATGCTGCTGCGGGCGACGCCCACGACCAGCTCCCCCTCGAGTGGGCCGGGTTCGAGGCCAGTGGCGATGGGCAGCCAGACCCGCGCGCCGCCTGCTGGGAGCCCGTCTTCGTCAACGGGGTTTCCTTCGCGGGCTGCTCCCAGCGCCGGGCCTTCGGAGGCCACCCGCAAGGCGCCGCGCGCTCCGGCGCGGGCCCCCCCGCGGGGCGCCAGGCAGGCCCGGGCGAAGGAGGCGGCGAGGCGGCGAGCCGCGGCGACTGCGGCCGACGGGATGACGGTCTGTCAGACGCACTCGGTCCGCCCCGCTACGTTGCGGCTGCACCAAGACGATTTTGCTTTTTTCAAGCGCTGGCTGAAGCGGCAGGGCCACCCCATGCCGGAGGGCGAGGCCGACACCGACCTGGTGCTGGCGCAGTTCTTGGACGAGATGTACCTCGACGGGGTGCATCTCAGCCTGGGGCAGCGCGCGGCGCTGTTCCACCAGTCCTCTCTGAGCAAGGCGGGGGCGCGCGGGTGCCGCAGAGCCGCCGCGCGCCGCTCAAGGGCTGGCAGCGTTTGGCGCCTGCGGGTTCCAGGCTCGGGGTGCCGTGCGAGGTGATGTGCATGATCGCGACGTGGATGTGGCTGCTCGGCCTCTGGGAGGAGGGGCTCGTGACGCGGCTGACGTTGAGATGTACTACCGCCCGAACGAGCCGCTCACCCTCCGCGCGATGGACCTGGCGCCCCCCGTGGCAGGGGCGTGGGCGGGCGGGAGCTGGTCGCTGACGCTGCGTGCCCGCGAGCACGGGGTCGCCTCCAAGACCGAGGCTGGACCTCGAGCGGCAGGCGGGCCTCGCGGCCTCGGGCCGGCCCTTGCCGCCCTGGTGGAGGCGCGCTTCGGTGCCCAGTGGCGGCTGCCGGTGCTGAAGCGGCCTGCGGGCGCTGCCTCGGATCCGCTTCTGTTCGCGATCAGCAGCAAGCAGGCGGGTCAGGCCTTCGAGAGGGCCGCGCAGGCGCTGGGGCTCCGACGCGGCGACCGGCGCCAGGATGCTGGATCACTGCGGCCGCTGGCGCGCCCACAGCAGCCCCCGCCGGTGCGAGAAGGGCGCGCGGCTCGGCGAGGTGCTCGAACGTCTGACGCCCCCTCTGCATGCCCACGCGCTGCGCTGCGTCGACTTGCTCGCCGCGGTCGCGGCCAGGCGTCGCCAGCCCTTCGCGAGCCCCTGAGAATGCCAGTCTTCGTTGAGATCTTCTCCGGCTCTGGCAGGCTCGGGTGTGCTGCAGCACATGAGGGGCTGCAGGTGCTGTGGTGGGGGCATCTCGTTCTGCGATGCTCATGACCTGACGTTAGGCAAGAACCAGAATTGTCTGATGGGCTGGCTGTCGGGCGGGCTCATCATCGGGTTCCACGTTGCGCTACCGTGCCAGACCTACTCCCGCATCCGCGATCATGGAAACGGTCCGCCGCCGCTGAGGAGCGACGCCTGGCCCTGGGGGCTGCCCGGCCTTCCGGCCGCCCTGCAGCACAAAGTGACGTTTGCCAATAACCGAACGCGTTTCGCCTGCCGCCTGCGTCGTGAGGCGATTCTTTGTCGGATCCCCTGGTCCCTGGAGAATCCGCGTACCTCGCGTCCTTGGCTGCGTAATTCAATCGTTGCTCTTACTCGGCGGAAGAATGTGAGTACTGTGTACACCGATTTCTGCAAGTGGGCCGGGCCTTTTAAAAAATCCACCACGTTCGTCTCCTATCTTGTCGATCTCTGGCAGGTGCCTCGGCAGCCGCCGGATGTGTGCCCGCCAAGGCGAGGCCCATCAGCAGTTAGTTGGCAAACGTCAGGACGGTGTGCTTTGGACCAAAGTTGCTGAACCATACCCAGCCCCTCGCTGCAGTTTCATTGCCAGACGGTTATGGGATGTTACTGCTGCGCGGGCCGTTCAGAAATTTGACAGGTTCTTGTCTGTTGCTTAAGTCCCGGCGATGCCAGTTGGCACTCGTGCAAGTATGGCGTTTTCTAGCTTGACGGTGCAGTCTTGGCAGTGCGTGTGGCCGAAGCCACACACTTGTGACGTGGGTATTGTGACTCGTTGCCTGCCCGCCCACTCGCTCCGGTCGGTGGTCGGTGGCGCCACTGTATGCAAAAACTCGTCGTCTGGCCTCGAACGGAAGCCTGAGCAATCATTAGCATCATCATCATCATCATCATCATCATCATCATCATCATCATCATCATCATCATCATCATCATCATCTGTATCATCGTCCCCCTCATCGTCCCCTCCCTCTTCTCCCCCCTCCTCCCTCCGCCGTGGGTTGATCCAGGGGTCCGCCCCGGTCAGCTACAGCGCCGGGATCAGCGCGTGCGAGAAAGGCGAACAGTGGCTGCAGGCGCTCTGGCTGCTCGGCAAAGCACGGGAAATAAAATTGGAGCCAAATATAAGATCCTTTACAACAAGGAGAAGGAGGAGGAGGAGGAGGAGGAGGAGGAGGAGGAGGAGGAGGAGGAAGAGGAGGGGGAGGCAGAGGAAGAGAAGGAGGAACATGAGGAGAAGGAGGAGGAGGAGGAGGCAGAGGAAGAGGAGGAGGAACAGGAGGAGGAGGAGGAGGAGGAGGAGGAGCATTTTTCTTCCGCAGCGCGTCCAGGTTCGGCAAGCAGTACTCCACGTCGCGGACGAGCCCTGAGAAGCCCGATAAAACCCCTAAGAGACTCCCCGAAGAGACGCTTGGGAGCAGCCTCGTGCGGTCCAGGTGTTCCGCGAGGGGGGGCGTCGCGATGGCCCAGCAGGCCTCGAGACGGCCACCAGACGCCCGAGGGGCATCGAGGCTGCCTCCGGAGAGCCCCATCGCCCAGAGCCCCTCGCGCTGCAAAGACCAGCACGACGGGAGGTTTTTCCTTGCCCTCGGCCTCCGGAGGCCCGTCCTGGGCCTCGGCACCGTCGAAGAACAACTCGGGATGAAAAAAGGGTCCCCGGGAAGGGGTCCAGACCTCTGGGGGTCGACGTCGCGAAAAGATCGCGACGCCGGGGTCTGGGCGGAGCCCCTGCGGAGTGCTGGAGACCGTCCACGAAGTGCAAAATCGATGACGTCGCCATGGATTATTTCCACCATCTGTCGCATTCTCCATCTTCCTTCGCAGGGGCAGGGTCAGCCAGTTTCTGTGTGTGTGTGTGTCTCCTTGCCTCTACCGTTGCCCTTTGGGCTCTCAAGGTGTTGACGTTCAGCGTGAGAGGAGAAAACATCGAACGTCTCCATCCTACGGATCATTGGCAGGGTTGGCTCTCTGATCCTTTCTTCCCATTCACCGTTCCAGCGTCTCCTAGCAATGCCGAAGGGGCCCCTAAGGCGCTCCAAGGGGGCCACTGACGCCCCCAAGATGGCCCAGAATCGCCCAGCGCTGCCCCCACGCCGGCCCCGAGGCGTCTCCACTGTGGCCCAAGGCAGCCCCAATATATGGTCCTGGTTCCAAGAGCTCCCCAGGTTGTCCCCACCGCCCGAAAATAGCCACCCAGAGTCCCCATCGACGCCGAGGCAGCGCCAAGAGGGCCTGCCGGGGGCCCCGGAGGGCCACCCGCGGGCCTCGGCGGCCCCTGGCGGGGCCAGGGCTGGCCCCGAGGGCACCCCAGCATCTCGATCTGTGCGGCGCCCATGCAGTCCGGGCGCAGAGTCACCAGGCTTGTGCGACCAACCCGATCAGCGCAGTGTCCCCGAGTACATGGCACCGTCTGCTGCCACTGCCCGCGTGTTCGCTGCCGCTGCGGCGCTGCTGAGCGGTGGCAGCTGTAACTTCTGAAGGCTTGTCAGGACCGTCGTGGGTCCCCAGGAGACCTCTTGGGATTGTATCGGTGGCATCTCGGGGCCAGAACGCTGGCCCTCTCAGTATCTAGTATAACCTTCGACCACGCCCAAGCCGCCCAGCGTGGCGGGGTCGTGGACAAGAGGGCTGTTACGAAGGCGCCTTGGAGTTTGTCGGGAGACCTCTTGGTCTTGGAGGCATCTTTGGAAGCGCCTGGGGCCCACTGGGAGGAGGAGGAGGAGGAGGAGGAGGAGGAAAGGAGGAGGATGAGGAGGGAGGAGGGGGAGGAGGGGGAGGAGGAGGAGGAGGAGGAGGAGGAGGAGGAGGAGTAGGAGGAGGAGGGAGGAGGAGGGAGGGAGGAGGAGGGAGAGGAGGAGGAGGAGAGGCGGAGGAAGAGAGGAGGAGGAGGAGGAGGAGGGGGGAAAGGAGGAGGAGGAGGAGGAGGAGGAGGAAAGGAGGAAAGGAGGAGGAAAGGAGGAGGAAAGGATGGGGAGGAGGAGGAGGAGGAGGAGGAGGAGGAGGAGGAGGAGGAGGATCTTTGGCATCTTTGGCTGCGTCTTGGGGCATCTTTGGAGGGTGGTCGGGGCCGGGCGGGGGCCCCTGGGGGCACTGCTCTCGGGCAGGGGTCCTCCTGCAGGCCTCTGGAGGCGGCTCCGGGGGGCCTCCCCGAGGGCCTCGGGGCCCATCTCTTGGGGGGGGGGGGGTCCTGGGCAGCCTCGCCTCGGGAGCCTTCTCTCGGGAGCCTTCTCTCGGGGAGGGGAGCCTTCTCTCGAGGGCCTTCTCTTGGAGGGGGGGGAGCCTTCTCTCGGGAGCCTCCTCTTGGGGGGGAAGGCCTTCTCTCGAGGGCCTTGGGGGGAGCCTTCTCTCGGGAGCCTTCTCTTGGGGGGGAGCCTCGTGGGCAGCCCTGGTGCCCTTGGAGACCGTCTTGGCTGCGGCGATCTTGGAGGCATCTCGGGCCGTCTTTGGGAGGGCGGAGGCGCGAAAGGGCGAAAACGAGGAAGTCCTCCCAAGGCCTGAGGGACGTGGGTCCGTTCTGCCTCTCGGGGCCCTTCTGGGGGTCCTCTCTTTGGGGCGCTCTCGAGGCGTTTTCGGAGGCCTCTTGGACAGAGAAGAAGCCGTCTTGGACGTCTTGGAGCGCTCTCGGGCCGCGTCGGACCCTCTCTGGGCTCTCCTGCGGGCCCCGCAGGGCGTTCCCGGAGTGCTCTTGGGGGGCCTTGCCGGCCGCAGCAGAGGACGAGAAAGGCATCTCTGACCCGCTGGCCCTGGGGTGCTCTTCGTCCGGGGACCCCCAGGGGCCGCCCCGCGCACGCGAACTTGTCATATACAAATACAGTCGGACCAAGGTACGAGATCGAGGTCGTAGCCTAATGTTTTTCGTGCTTGTTGGGTGTTATTGGGCATCCTGGGGGAGGGCACCCTCGAATGTTCTGTGTGTTTTGGCCGGCGGAGGGTCTCCTGTTCTTGCAGGATATTATTATGTCCTTGGTCCGGCTTCTCTCTGAGCCTCTTACAGGAAATCTCAGCACGCTTCGACCAGAAGGGCCCGCGAATTATCTAAGACGCCTGCGGCGAATCACCGCCGCACCTTGCTTCTTGGAAACGCACACGCGGTCAAACATTGGATCGAAGTCTGGCCAAGCTATTAGCATTGGACTACGTATTCCCCCAGCCGTTGTGGAACCCCTTGGGGGAACATTGGGAGAGAGAAAGAAAGAAGGAGGAGAGGGAGGAGAGGGAGGAGGAGGAAGAAGAGGAGGCCTCTTGAGGCCCTCTTGAGGCCACCTGGGGGCTTTCAAAGAGCCTTTTGCAAGGCTCCACGGGACCTTTGGGGGGCGTCTTGGGGTTCTCGAAACTCTTGGGGACCTCTAAGGGGCCTCTGGGGGCCTCTGTGGCACCTCTTGACCTCTGGAGGCAGTCGCGTGGCCCTCTTTCGGACCGTCTTGGAGGTCTCTGGGGCTGTCTTAGGGGCCGTCTTGGGCGTCTCTGGGACTGCCTTGGGGCCGTTTTGGGCCGTCTTGCGAGCCTCTTGAGCGCCTCTTGGGCCGTCTTGGGGCGATCTTGGGGGTCGATGAGCCCGTCTTGGAGCGTCGGAAGCCCGAAAAAGGCGAAAAAGCTAAAATCGTTGCAAGAAAACGGCGGGAAATCAATGATTACGGCCTCCTGGAGGTCCTCTCGGAGCCCTCTTGGGGCGTCTGAGGGGCCTCTTGGCCTTCAGACGCCGTCTTGGGCCCTCCCTGGGCAGTCGTGGGTCCCTCTTTGGGCGCGTTTGGGCCGTCTTGGAGGTCTCTGGGGCCCTCTCGGGGGCCTCTTGGGCTGTCTTGGGGCCCTTGGGCCATCCTGCGGGCCTTGGGGGCATCTTGGGGCGATCTTGGGTGCCTAAATGGGCCCGCCCTCACTGGAAAACCAAAGGAAAATCAATTCGGACTCCTGGAGGTCCCCTCGGAGCCCCCTTGGGGCGTCGAAAGGCCTCTTGACCTTCGGAGGCCGTCTTGGGCCCTCCCTGGGCAGCCGTGGTTCTCTCTTTGGGCGCGTTTGAGCCGTCTTGGGGGCCTTGGGGGCCGTGTTGGTCTGCCGTGGAGCCCTCCTGGGCCGTCCTGCGGGCCTCTTGGGGGCCTCTCGGGCCGAGCTGGGGCGATCTTGGGGGCCTGTGGGCCCGTCTGGGAGCGTCGGAGGCCCGAAAATGCGAGGACCCTTGACGCATTGAAAGAACCTACAGTGCCGTTTTTAATACATGCTCCGCGTGCGGATCACGCATTAAAGATGCAGGGATTTAGTACCAAAAGCAACGATGAGTTCATGCATAAATTGATTCATGCATTAGTCATAGGGTTAAAAGTCCTATATTTTCAGAAATCCTATGTATTAAAAACTGCCCTGTAAGGAAAAGTAGCGATTTGGGAGCCCTCTCGTGGCGTCCGAGGGGCCTCTTGGCTTGTTTTTGGTCGACGTCTTGGGACGTGTGAGGGCCACCATCCTGGAGACCAGCTTGTGCCATCTTGACCGTCTTGGAGCCGTCTGGGGCTGGAAAGACCTACGATCCGGAGATTTTCCGGGTGACGGGCGGGTTGGGCCGAGACCCCACCTGTAGAAAAGAAGCAAAACCTTCAGAAGGTCAGCACGCCGTGCAGCCCTTTGGTGAACCACCAGGGGGGGGGGCGATCGAGTTGCTTGCAGCACATCCTGCCACCGCACTGGGGTTGTAGGCGGGCGGCGCCTCTTGGATGCCTGTGGGGATCTCTTGAGAGGCCTCTCGGAAGCCTACTGGAGGGGGTTTTGTGGTGTCTTTAGGCCTCTCAGTGGCATCTTGGGGGCCTCTTGGGGCCTCCCTTGGGCTTCTCGAAAGCCTCCTGGGGTTTCTTGGGTGACTCTTTGGGGGCCTGCTGAAGGTCTAGTGGGTCACCTTGGGGCGGAGGGCTTCAAACGTCAGTTAGAGTTCCCCCTCTTGGGGCCCTATTGGGACCCTGAGCGTCGTGAGGCCCTCTTGGGCCGTCTTGGGGTCCTTTTGGACGACATTTGGGGCCTCGCGGGCCGTCTGGGAGCGTCGGAGGCACAAAACGGCAAGAACGCCAGAATGTATCAAGCACTTCTTGGTAGCATTCAAGATGTTGGCAGCTTGGGACCCTCTGGGGGGACCTCTTGGAGTCCTCTTGGGCCGTCTTGAAGCCAAACTGGGCGTCTTGGAACGCTCCCAGGCTGACTCGGGGCCTTCTTGGAGCGTTTTGGGGGCCCCTTACAGCCCCTTTGGCCCGTTTCGAGGCCCTCCTGCCCACGGAACAGCACGCGACAGCACATGCGGGAAGCCTCGAGAGCGCCCAGGCCCCCTCGGGCTCTCGGGGCCGCGGGCCTCCACTCATTCAAGCTCAACGGCGTCTGGACTTGCATGATAGGGCAGCTGCTCTGTGAGGACGTCTCTTGTCCCACATCGATGCGCGGCTCTCGTGAGTCTGTGACTTGTCTGCCCATGTTTGTCATGTTTCACTTCTAGGGGAAAGGCCACCTGGACGCCTACCTCTTTTCAACCATCGCCACTCCACACACTGCCTCGCCGCACGGTGGCGGATATATGCTGTGTGTGCACGATCGGCTGCTAGCCCGCGCGGAAGATCAATCCACAGGCCCAAGTCAGCTACAGTGCTGCCATCAGCGCGTGCGAGAAGAGCGGGAAATGGCAGCAGGCGCTGTCGTTGTTTGGAGAGCTGAGGGAAGCCAGGTTGGATCCAGACGTCGTCAGCTTCGGAGCTGCAATCAGCGCGTGCGAGAAAGGCGGACAATGGCAGCGCGCGTTGGTTCTGCTCGGCGTCCTGCGGGAGACGCAGGTGGATCTGGACACCAGGAGGAGGAGGAGGAGGAGGAGGAGGAGGAGGAGGAGGACGACGACGACGACGACGAGGACGAGGAGGACGAGGACGAGGAGGAGGACAAGGAGGAAGAGGAGGAGGAGGAGGAGGAAGAAGGCCAGGAGCTTGCGCAGCTTCGCATTGCCCTCACGCACGACACGAGCGAAACGAAACGGTCTTCCAGCTGGGGCACTTTTCATGTCACTTCGGTCCCACCCAGCCCCCACTCTCCGATCTCTGTCCTACCCCGACTCCTGCCCTTCGACTTTTGTTGGGGGGCCTCTGGTCAGGCGGGATTCGGGACGGTGTTTCTGCGTGAGTGTGTGTATTGTATCTTTCCTGTTCGTTCCCTCACCTATCGCTACCTTATTATATGTCGATACGACTGCTCACACCCTCTGGAGGACAACCTGATCGTCACAGCTTCTATCTTGCCTGTCCAGCGTGGGTTAGGCTCGTTGACGCGTCCCCCCCCCTTTCCACAGAAAGGGGAGGACGAGGTTGAGGAGAACGGAGAGGAGGAGGAGGAGGAGGAGGAGGAGGACGAGGAAGGGGGGAGGAGGAGGAGGAGGAGGAGGAAGGAGGAGGAGAGGAGGAGGAGGAGGAGGAGGAGGAGAGGGAGATGAGGAGGAGGAGGAGGAGGAGGAGGAGGAGGAGGAGGAGGAGGAGAGGAGGAGAGGAGGAGGAGGAGGAGGAGGGGGAGGAGGAGGAGGGGAGGAGGAGGAGGAGGAGGAGGACGACGACCAAAGGTGGAACCGAGCATCGTCGGCTACAGCGCCGGAATCAGTGCCTGCGAGAAGGGCGGGGGCGGTGGCAACAGGCATCGCCCTCCTCATCGTTATCCTCCTCCTCCTCGCCCTCCTCCTCCTCCTCCTCTCCTCCTCCCTCCTCCTCCTCCTCCCTCCCCTCCTCCTCCGCCTCATTGCTCTTCCTAGTCCTCCCCCCGATCCTCGGATCTCCAGGGCAGGCACTGTCGTTGCTCGATCCTCGATGCTCCTCGAGCCTCCATCCTCCTCGAGCCTCGAGCCTCTCGGGCAGGCGCTGGCGCTCCTCCGCGAGCTGAGGGGCCTTCGGCTGGAGCCGAGCGTCGTCAGCTGCAACGCCGCGATCAGCGCGTGCGAGAAGTGCGGGCAGTGGCAGCGCGCGCTGGTCCTCCTCGGCGAGGCGGAGGAAACGAGCGCGGAGCCGGACGTCGTCTTCCCGTCGCGCTCGTCCTCGTCCACCGCCGCCTCCCTCCCTCCCCTCCCTCCTTCCCCTCCCTCCATCCCTCCCTCCCTCCTCACCCCCTCCATCACAGGCTCGAGGAAGAAGCACGATGACCATGACCGAGATGTCGCGGGACTCCGTCGACGCCGATCCTGGCCTTGGCCCCTGCCCGCCGTGGACGATCCGCGAGGATGGCCCACGAGTTGCTGGCGACCAGAGTCGACACCCGACGTTTCCGCGTTCCGTCTTCGTCCTGGTCACCGTTCTCTCCCCCTCCCCGCGCCTTCTCGCCCCGTCTCCGGCGCCAGGGGGCCCTCGAGGATCGAGCCGGCGCGAGGGGTCCCGCCTCGGAGGCACTGGCGCCACCGGGGGCGCGGGTCGTGGCTGTGGCACGTCGCCGTGTTGGTATGTTTTTATTTTCTCCACGAGGTTGGGCGTCGGGGGTCCCCCACACGCTTCGAGGCCCCATCTAGGGAGCTCCACCGATGGCCCCAGTGGCGGTGCCCACATGCGCCCCCGCCGCCCGTGTCGGCACACCCCTCCCACGTCTCGTGGCCCCACAGGGAGCTCCACCGAAGACGGTGCTCACAACTGCGTTGCTCGCAACTGCACATGGTTGGGTCCTTCGCCAGGCGAGTTTCTGTCCACGAGGTGAGGCGTCGGGGGCCCCCCGCTGCCACCCGCCTGCCTTGCAGAGCACGCCGAGGAAGATGCGGCCCCGCAGCGCAGCACTGGCAGCGCCACGAGCGAGAGGCCGCCGTGCCCCGCGGCTGTTCCCCTTGGAAGGCCTGCAGTCGAGACGCCGAGATTGGGCACCGCTCTGGGTTCGGAAGGGGCTCTCTGTTCCTTGGGTCATTCCGTGGTTGTTCCTCCAGCCCCGCCTCGTGCACCCAGGCGCCGTCGGCGCCAGCCAGAAAGGGGCTTCGCTCCTCAGTAAGCGTTTTCCTTCTGGGTAGTGCCTCGACTGTGTGGCCAGCCTCGACTTCTGGTAGTGCATCGATATCAGCTAGAATGTGCGCCCTCGCACGCGTACGATTAGGTCGGGCATGTCCCCCTACAGGGGGAGCTTAGACGAAAAATTGAAAAGATTCGAACAGTATTCAAACCTAGTTATATATACACAACATTATTCAATCATGCTTACACTTATACATACATAGAAATAAAACTAAACATAAAAATAATAGAAACGGAACATGTATGATAACAATTAAAAGTTCGTTTCTTGATTTTATTTTTGAAAACAAGAAACTCCCCCTGTAGAGGGACACGCCCGACTTTAGCGTACGAGCCATGTCACGCACGGGCCCGCCGGACGCCCACCCCGCAGCCCGAGGCGAGGGCAGCCGAGGCCGACCGTCGTGACTGCTGCGGCCCGTGGGATCGCTGCTCCGCTCGACAGGCTCACCGGGCAATCCGGCAGGACGACGACGAGGACGACGACGACGACGACGACGACGACGGCGACGACGACGACGACGACGACGGCGGCGGCGACGACGACGACGACGGCGACGACGACGACAACGACGACGACGACGACGGCGACGGTGACGACGACGACGAGGTTGAGGACGACGACGACGACGACGACGGCGACGGTGACGACGACGACGAGGTTGACGACGACGACGGCGACGACGACGACGACGACGACGACGACGGCGACGACGGCGAACCCCCCCCCAATCCTTGGGACCCCCAGTCCCTCGGGATCCCCCCCCCTCTGGACCCTCCCAGACCTCTCCGCACGGTAGGGGGGAGCAATTAGTGGACTTTCCCCCGCTCCCCCCCAAGCTCACAGTTGGCACGCGCGGGGGAGATTGCGATCGAAGCGTAGCTCATCAGACCCGCCGCCAATTCTGCACATGTGGGGGGAGGGGGAGGCGTGGACCGATGAGTGCGGCATGCGCGTTCGCTGTTGTTTCTCCGAGGCTTGTCGGCCTTCCGCGCTGGACCCCCCACGGTCGGGAACGTTGGCTCAGCGTGTCGCGGAAGACTCAAAAAACTTGTCGGAACCCGCGAGATCTTCTGAGAAGTCCCGCAACCTTCTGAGAGGGCCTTCTCCCTCTCACTTCCCCCCCTCGCTTGCCGCCGAGCTGGAGCCCCACGGCCAGGAACGTTGGCTCAGCGAGTCGCGCCACCAGTCCCTGGCCAACCACGCTTCGGCGCCGACACGCTATCCACGGCCCCGTCCCCCCCTCCTCCTCCTCCTCCTCCTCCTCCTCCTCCTCCTCCTCCTCCTCCTCCTCCTCCTCCTCCTCCTCCTCCTCCTCCTCCTCCTCCTCCCCTTCCTCCTCCTAGGAGGAGGAGGGGGAGGAGAAGGTGGAGGAGGAGGAGGAGGAGGAGGAGGAGGAGCAGGAGGAGAGGAGGAGGAGGAGGAGGAGGAGGAGGAGGAGGAGGAGGAGGTAGAGTTGGAGGAGGAGGAGAGGAGGAGGAGGAGGAGGAGGGGGAGGGGAGGAGGGGAGGAGGAGGAGGAGGAGGAGGAGGAGGAGGAGGAGGAGGAGGAGGAGGAGGGAGGAGGAGGGAGGAGGATGAACGCTGGCTCAGCGTGTCGCGCCACCTGTCCTGGGCAACCGCGCTGCGGCGCCTGCACGCGAACTCCACGGCCAAGGTCCCCGAGCGGCCGTTGCCCCGAGCCTCTGTCCCCGCCTCGTGCCCTTGCGGGAGGCGGAGCGGCAGGCGATCCGCTGGCAGCTCGTAGCGTGTCGCCAGGGCCGCCCCCGCGGCACGCTGTGAGGAAGTTCCTCACCGAGCGCGCTCCACTACTCGCAGAGTGCCTACTCGCAAACGTCCGGACAAGATCACATGGCGGATTTCGGAAACCTTGAACCCAAAAACGTGTTCATCGATTGGGGGCGCATCGTTTACTTCCGCCGCCTTCCGCCAGCCTTCCGCCGGCTTCCGCCGGCGGAGGCGGCCTCGTTTTACTTCCGCCGACCTTCCGCCGCCTTTCCGCCGCCTTCCGCGGCGGAAGAGATGACAACTCCTTCGATCCTCGAAGGCAAGGCCATTGTGGAACGCCTCACATGTCTGCATCGATGTAAAGTGTCGTGAATCCTCCATGGCGGATCAAGGCCATTTGCGAGTAGTTATTTTTTGCGGGTAGTGAAACGCGCTTGTCTAGTTCCTGAACGTGTTGGGGAATCGGGCTTCCGCGCTAGTGCACTGTATGAGTACCGTTGTCACGGGCAAAACGTAGTGGTTGCCAGGCTACAAAAGACATTGTCGGGATTGATACCAGGATTCATAGTGATGGGGAGAAGGACGACATTATATCAAATGGCCTTTGGTCCATCCCGTCACTGTGCCTGGGTTGTGGGTCTGCAGCCTTTTGGATGGTCGGTGGGATCTCGTAGAGGCCTTTCGGGGGCCTCCTGCCAGCAGTTGTGGGGCCTCAAGGGGGCTGTTTGGGCCTCTTCGGGCCACTTTTGGATCTCTTGGGGGCCTCTTGGGACCTTGTGGGTGCATCTTAGGGGCGTCTTCGGGCATCTTGGGGGCCTCTTTGGGCCTCCTGGGCGCTTCGTGGGGCAGAAGGCTCGGATGTCCCTTTCGTGCTCCCCCTCTTGGGGCCGTCTTGGGGCCATCTTGGGCAGTCTTGGGCGCCTCTTGGTCCGTCTTAGGGCCGCCTTGGGGCGGTCTTGGGGGCCTCGTGGGCCATCTTGGAGCGTCGGAAGCTCGAAAAGTCGAAGACCCCTAAAACATTGAAAGTCCTAACGAAAATAAATAATCGTGGCCTCTCGTGGGCCCTCTTAGGAAGGCTTTTGGGGCTATCTTTGGGCGCCTCGATGGCTTCTTGGGCCGTCTTGGGGTCATCTTGGGCGTGTTGGACCGATCGTGCGGCGATTCGGGGCCCACTTGGACCGTCCGGGCGGGCTCTCTTGGCCCATCTTGGGGCTTTCTTGGGCACGAAAAAGTCACGCGAGAAGTTTCGGAAAACCCCAAGAGGTTTGATAATGTCGGGTCAGGGCCCCTTAAAGAACCTCCAGGAATGATGATTCAGGCTCCAGGGGATCGAACAAGGGGCTTGAGGACACTCCAACTCGTGTCTCAAGATCACGGTGGCGGATAAACTCGTCTTCTCTACAGCAACGCAGTACACTCTGGATCATGCCGCAATGATTGCAGATATTATCTTGGAAAAGCCTTACGGCCAGTGCCGCCGACCCTGAACGACGACGACGACGACGGCGACGGCGACGCTGACGTGGGTCAGAGTCCTCAGGGATGTTTCTTGGGGTCTCTTTGGAGGGCTATCGGGGGCCTCTGGGGAGAAGTCTTGGGGCCTCGTGGGAGCCTCTTGGGGGCCTGTCGGGAGGCTCCTGGGAGCCTCTTGGGGCTTCCCGGGAGCCTCCTGGGGGTGGAAGAGGGGGAAATGAAGGTCTGAGGAAGGTTAAATCTGGAGTTAACCCTCTGTTAAACGAACGTCAAAATATTCACCCTGAGGAGGGTTAATTGCATATTAAAACTCTTTCGTGGACGCCGAGCGTCGAAGGGAGTCAACCTGAGGAGGGTTAACTCGCCCAATGTATCCGTGGACGACTCGCCACCTGGCAGGGAAACGATAAATCTGGATATCACCCTTTTGGATTCGACACTTCCTAGAGGGCCGAGGCGGAGAAGGTGGAGAGCGAAGGGCACAAAGAGAGAGCAAGAGAGAGAGAGAGAAAGAGAAAGCGAGAGAGATATAGTTATAGAGAGAGAGAAGAAAAGAGACAACAACAAAAAAATCGGGAGTCTCTTGAGAACATCAGGAGCCCCCTTTCGGAGCCTCTCAAGGCCCCTTGGCGGCCTCTCCAGCCGTCTCAGAAGGCTTCCAAACCGACAGCGCGAATACAGATCGATCGAATTCATAATCGATTGGGCCCATGTTGACCTCTCGATGGCAACTGCATGAGTGGGTTACGTCTGTTGTTAACCCGCCGACAGACAATTCCGCTAAAAAGCGCTAAATCTGGATTAAACCCCTTTCTTGGAGGGGAGCGAAAATTACATCTGTGCGCTTTCTCAGTTAGTCTAGGAGGGCCCGACGAGAACGCCTGCAGAGCCTAGGAGAAGGAGCCGACGAAAAAAGAAAGCCTGCAGCGCGTGCGAGGAAATAGCTCTATATTCGAGCTGGACAGACGAGCGACCTGAGCCATAAAGCCTGCAGGGCAAGAGAAACACGCACCCTGCACCGGCAAGCCTGCAGAACTAGAAACACAAACACACACACACACACACCTTGAACCAGATAAGCCAGCGGAGGTGGAAACAAAGAAGCCTCCTGCACCAGAAACGCTGCAGAGCTAGAACATGAGAGGTTCATAGCACAGGATGCCTTCGTATTTAGAGGAAGGACCATACATAACCTGAGAGCCACCAACCCCAGACAAAGCATCCTTCGGATCAAGAAAGCCTGCAATACGAGAGAAGGGTGGCTCAAGAACCAAGAGTGACTTAAGAATCAGGAGGCTGGGCGAAAGAAGGGTGGCAGAACCAAACTACAAGACCCAAACAGCACAGCCCTGCACAGTCTGACAAAAAGGTTCTCTGCAACGTGCAAGCCTGTGGAACTGGATCTGAAAACGAGCCCATTGCAGCGATGCCGACGCAGCGGGCAAATGAAACGGGCGACTTCCCCTCCAAAAGTGGCCAGCTGCAAGGCGAGAGTATTTCGAGCACAAGGGCCCAGGAAGTGAGAAGAGCATGCGCCGTGGAATTAGGAAAGAGGTTTTTTATGGTCGCCAGACCTTTCCACGAGCGGAGCGCGTCAGATGTAGAAAAGTTTGGTATGGATGAAACACTTAACAATTGTGAAGTACTGAAGGCACGCAGTGGAAAATATTACATCCCGATGGAACCTGTTTTGGAATCATGATTACACACTTTTTTTCTTGGGGGACCACCTTGGGAGCCTCTTGGGGCAGTCTTGGTTCGTCTTGGGGGATGTGGGACTTTGGGGCCCCCCGGAGCGGGGTGGCATTCTGACCTGGGGCTTGCCCTGAGTCCCCCCCGGGACCCCCCTTGGGTCCCCCCCACGAGCCCCCCGGGACCCCCCCCCGGACGACCATCCCCCATGGGACCCCGCCCCCGACCAGCGGGGAAGAGACCAAGGGGAAGGGGCTTCTTTTTGACACACCCACGACGTGGAGTAGGGCCCAGGGAAAAGGGGGGAGCAGCGACGGCGACGACGACGACGATGACGACGACGACGACGACGAACGGAAGAGCGTCTTCCACACGCCGACCGGGTCGGCGGATTTCATCTGGGCACGAATGCGCGACTCTGATTAGCAGTGGAATTTAGGGGGCATCGAAAATATAAATCATTACAGACTTGCTGTAAATCGAGCTACACATGTTCTCGGCCTAGCATTCCAGCACACGCTTTAAGAAAAGGGTGACAGCTCAGTCTGTGCTGAGTTCGAGGAACATTATTCGTATATCTTCGCAGTGAGCTCAGCTACAACGCTGCGATCAGCGCGTGCGATAAGGGCGGGAAGTGGCAGTTTGCTTGGCTGTTGATCAACGCCTTGCGGGGCAATACATTGAAGCCAGACTGCATAAGTTACAGCGCTGCGATTAGCGCGTGCGAGTAACGCATGGTGTGGCAGAAAGTGTCGTCACTGCCAGGCGAGGTGCTGGACGCGAGGTCGAAGCCGAAGATCAACCACCGGTGTGGGAGCGAGCATGTGCGAGAAGTGGGGCAGTCTCAGCGCCGCTTGTGTCCTTCAGGTTGCAGCTGGGCATGACGTCTGCTGGCAGCTCTACAGTGTGGCACGTGAGGGAATGACGCAGCACATGGAAGCCTGGCTGGATCCAGGAAGTTGTGCCGCGTCGACGCGGTGGTGACCCCAGCACGGAAGTTCAAGGCTGAACGCCGCCAGTAGCCTGGAATCGGCCGACATCGAAAGACCCGCGCAATCGGAAGGCCTCGATGGCTCAGGGCTGAACGATCCATGCGGTGTCAGAGTTCCACGCGCTAGTCGTCACGGCACGAACCTGCCGCAGGCCACCCGCAAGGGAGAGATCGGATGCCGACGCTGCCAGCGGTCGGACGCACGAGCAGAGCGTTGGCGCGAGAAGCTGCCGAGATCGGGTCATCCTCCTCCTCCTACTCCTCCTCCTCCTCCTCCTCCTCCCCCTCCTCATCTTAATCATCATCATCATCATCATCATCATCATCATCATCATCATCATCATCATCATCATCATCATCATCAGCATGATCCTCATCCTCATCCTCATCATCATCATCAGCAGCATCATCATCTTCATCAGCATCAGCATAGCATCAGCATCATCATCAGCATCAGCATCAGCATCATCATCATCCTTCTCCACCCCCGCTCGAGCGCAGCCCGTCTCGCCGCAGGAAGGGCAGCAGGGGAAGAGGAGGAGCAGGAGGAGTGCCTCGGCTGCGTGCGGGGAGCAGGAGGAGTTCCAGGCAGCCCAAGAACTCGTTGATACAGGGTGTTTCCCCCAACGCTTTCAAAAAGCCCCTGGACGCTCTGGAAAGACTGCGGCGCTCGATGCGCCTTCCAGACCCGCGGCAGAGGAGGAGAAGAAGGGAGGAGGAGGAGGAGGAGGAGGAGGAGGAGGAGGACGAGGAGGAGGAGAGGAGGAGAAGAGGAGGAGGAGGAGGAGGGAGGAGGAGGAGGGAAAGAGGAGGAGGGGGAGGGGGAGGAGGGGAGGAGGAGGAGGAGGAGGAGGAGGAGGGGAGGAGGCGGAGGAGGAGGAGGAGGAGGAGGAGGAGGAGGGGGAGGGGGAAGGAGTAGGAGGAGGAGGAGGAGGAGGCGGAGGAGGAGGAGGAGGCGGAGGAGGAGGAGGAGGAGGAGGAGGAGGAGGAGAAGCAATGCCAAGCAGCGCAAAGCAATGCAACGCAAAACAATACAAAGCAAGGCAGGAAAATACATATCAACGCAAAGCAGTGGAAAGCAACGCAAAGAAAGTATCGCACAACAATGTAATGCAATGTACAAGAAAGGCAAAGAAAGGCGAAGTATCGCAGGCCCAGACGACAGCGGTGCAGCGACGTCGACCACATAGCCGCCCACACCGACGGGCAGGCCCAGAGCGACGAGGCGGCGACGGCGACCACACAGCCGCCCACACCGACGGGCAGGCCCAGCTCCTTAGAAAAGAAATCAGAACCCCTAAGTGCAAGCGCTGTTTACAAAATGATGCCCGCCATCTTCCTTGCCTGCCCTCTCTTCTATTCTGGCTCTTTCTGTCTCCACCCTCCCCCTTGCTCCTCGTTTTGAATGTGTTGAATGTACACGACACGCTGGGCAAATGTGTCGAAAGCCCCCCGAGACTGCGGAGGACGCTCAGACACAACCTGGAACCTTTCGAAGCCAACCGAGAGCCACAGAACAGCCTTGGGAATTCTCCGTCCCCCTCCTCCCTCCCCCATCTCTTCTGCTCGAGGTCCCCAGGAGGGATCTGGGAGCCCCCCGAGGCCCAGAAACTGCCCTCCCTCCCTCTCCCCTCACTGCTTCCAGCCCTGGGTCGCCTTCCGCCCGGTCAGTCTTCCGAAAGAGGCCGTGCCCGCGGACTCATCCTAGAGCCGAAAGGGCCCAACCAACCAACCAACCAATCAACCAACCAAGCTTCCTCCTCCCTCCCCCCCAGCCTGCTTCCATCCCTCCTTCCTCCCTCCCGCCCTCCCTCCCGTCCCTCCTTCCTCCTCCCTCCCGCCCTCCCTCCCGTCCCTCCCTCCTTCCTCCCTCCCGCCCTCCCTCCCATCCCTCCCCTCCCCCCCAGACTCCTTGCTCCCATCCCTCCCTCCTCCCCCTTCCCCTCTTCAGGTGACCACCGCGCGAGGGGCCCCGCGGCGAGCCCGCGCGCCCTCGGAGAGGGCCCCGCGAGCCAAGAGGAAGAAGGGGCAGGCAGGAGGAGGCAGGACGACGGAGAAGTGGAGGGGGAGGAGGCAGGAGGAGACAGGAGGAGACACGAGGGAGGAGGGTGGAGAGGGAGAGGGAGAGGGAGGAGGGGAAGGTAGGGAGGAGGAGGAGGGACGACGGAGAAGGGGGGGGAGGCAGGAGGAGACGGGAAGAGGCACGAGAAGAGGCACGAGGGAGGAGGGTGGAGAGGGCGAGGGAGGGGGAGGAGGGGGGCGGCAGAGGGAGAAGGAGGAGGAGGCGACGAGGCGATGAGGCGATGGAGCGGCCCGCGGGCAACCACCTCGAGGGGCATCCGCCACCCAGAGGCACCGCCCACCCCCCCGCCCTGTCTGCACCCGCCGTAGGGCTCCGCGGTCAGGGGCGCGCAGCTAAGGCGCTGCAGTGAGGACCACCTTGGGCTCTGGAAGAGGAGGCGGAGGGATGAACGCTACAGGTCTGTTGCTAAAGTTCGCCCAGCGTCAAAAAAAGAGGAGGAGGAAGAGGAGGGGGAGGAGGAGAAGGAGGAGGAGGCGGAGGAGGAGGAGGAGAAGGTGGAGGAGGAAGAGGAGTTGAGGAAATAGGGGGTAGAGGGAGGAGGATGTGGAGAAGGACAAGAAGAAGAAGGAGAACGAGAAGGACAAGGAAGATGAAGAGGAGGAGGAGGAGGAGAAGGAGGAGGGGAAGGAGGAGGAGGAGGAGGAGAAGAGGGAGGAGAGGCAGGAGGAGGAGGAGGAAGAGGAGGAGTTGAGGAAATAGGGGGGTAGAGGGAGGAGGATGTGGAGAAGGAGAAGGAGAAGACGAAGGACAAGAAAGAGGAGGGGGAGGAGGAGGAGGAGGAGAAGGAGGACGAGGAAGAGGAGGAGGAGGAAGAGGAGGAAAAAGAAGACGAGGAGGAGGAGGAGGAGGAGGATGAGAGGGAGGAGAGGCAGCAGGAGGAGGAGGAGGAGGAGGGGAGAGGTGAAAGGAGGGTGGAAGGAGGTGGAGGTGGAGGTAGGGGAGGAGGAGAAGGAGGAGGATTAGGAGGAGGAGGAGGAGGAGGCGGAGGCGGAGGCGGAGGAGGAGGAGGAGGAGGAGGAGGAGGAGGAGGAGGAGGAGGAGGAGGAGGAGAGGGGGAGGAGGAGAGGGGGCAGGAGGAGGAGGGAGGGGAAGAGGAGGAGGAGGAGGAAGAGGAGGAGGAGGAGGAGCAAGAGGAGCAAGAGGAGCAGAGGGAGGAGGAAGGATGAGTAGACAAAGGAAGACTAAGAAGAAGAAGAAGAAGAACAAAAGTAAGAAGAGCAGGAGGACGTGAGGGAGGAGGATGGGGAAGGAGGAGGAAAACCAGTGCAAGCCCAAGATGCATCCACAATGTTGCAATCAATTATCTCTTCCAAGCTCCCTGTTTATACGTCCCGACAAGGGTTTACTCATTGCAGGATGTGCCCCGTCGGTAGACAATCGCTTGAGAATCGCCAATAGACGCGGATGTTGGGACTGCAACGCCGCAAGTAATCGTGAATGCTGCGCCCTGCGAATCGTAAAAGTGCCAGAAAATGTGTGGGACCTTAGCGCCGCGAATCAATGTGAGATTCCCGACGAGGAAGAGGAGGATATTAAGGGACCCATGACGAAGCGAAGAAACGACCTATGCATGCTAGGCTTCGGCGACGGAAACAGCTTTGGCAACAGTTTCGTAGGCGTACCGTTTTGGGCGTTGTGGTTACTTCTGGGGGTGCTGCGCCTTCCTCCTCCTCCGAAGCCGTCGACAATCTTGGACGGCACGTTTTCGCAGCCCCCTCGGCCGACACTTCGAAAGGGAATGAAATTGTTGAGCACACCCGTACCATTCGTGAACCCCTGAATCGCGAGTGGTGCCTCCCCTACTCTCGCTGGTATGAGCTTGTCTTAGGGCGTACCCACAGCACCCCAGGCCCCGACGGCATTACATACGCTGTTTGGAAGCAGCCCTTCGCCTCACGCTTATTCTACTCCTGTTACCTCGCCCTCTTCGATGACACTATCTCCTCACTCCCCGACGACATGCTCTGCAGTCTGCCAGTTTTCTTCCGAAGGGAACTCAGGATGACGATCGCCCTGGTCATCCGCTCGCGCGGGCAGCCACAGCGACGCGGCCTCTTAGCCTCGGCAACACGGATGTGAAGTTGCTCGCGGCCGCTTGCATTGAGCCAGTTGCTGTGAATACATCTGATTTGAGTGGGGAAGAGCAGAAATGTGTGAGTGGGAGGGATCTGGTTGAGAACGTGGTTCGGGCGGAGGCATGGGGACTGGAGAGGTATATGAAAGCCGAGTCTGAAGCTGCACTGTTACTCACCGGCTTTGCTTCCGCCTTCCCGAGTTTAGCGTAGAGTTGGTTATGGTATGCCTTGCGTGCTAAGGGAATGTGTAGTCACAGCAGACAGTTGCTTGTAATGACGCACGCTGATCATACAGCCATCATCACCATTGGGGGCAGTTTTTTTGAGTATTTCGATTCGTTCTAGGGTAAAGCAGGGCTGCCCCGCATCTATGCTCCTGTTTGCTCTTGCTGTCAACCCTATTCTTGCCTGGATTAACCATAAACGTGCTGCTGAGCTGGGGATCACTCTTGCGTATGCTGACGATTTCGGCGTTGGAATGTTGAAGATCGTGCCCGGCCTCTGCGGGCTGCTTGACGTGCTATCGGAGCGTGAGGTCATTGCGAACCTCAAGCTACATCCAAGAAGTGCCAGCTGATCGCC